CATATTTATTTATATTTCTATTTATTATATTATTTAATATATTTATTTATTTGGTAAACATTATTATTTATTATATTATTTAGTATATTTATTCATTTGTTAAATATTTAATTAAAATACAAATAATATTTAATTATAATATTATATATTTGGTAAATTATATTATTTATTTTATTCATTTCTTTGATAAATATTTATTTAATATTAAAATTAATTTAATTAAATACGTTAAAATATTTATTTAGAAATATAAAAAAAAAATATTAAAATATAAAAGTAATACAAATTGAATAATATAAATTAGATAAAAATATGTTGGTAGATATATAATTGAAGTTAAATTTTAAACATAAAGTGTGCTAGCTCAAGTGGTCCATGAGCTCTTTTACTCCTCATTGGACTTGGGTTCGAATTCTCTCCTTAGCATATTTTTTTACAATTATTCCACATATTCCACATAATCGCCACCTAAGCATACAACTAAGCAAAAAAAAAATTTGAGCGAATTTCCACGTAGGCAGCCGGTAAATCTGACCTGCTGTAGGCGGTCGGAGGACCAAAAAACTAATTTTTTTTCACTTAAGGGACTATTTCCAAAAGCGGTCCATTTACGGTACCAAATTGAAAACGGCCTGCAGATAAAGGACCAAAAAACTTTTTTTTCTCTGAAGTGATCTAGGTGATTGCGAAGTTAATCATACCATTATTAAGTGGTCTACACGAAAACTTAGGCGGTCTGTCGCCTGTATAATTGTTTTCATATTTATTAATTTGTCTTAAAATATAATATAAATAAAATTTGATTATTATGCATGAAATGTACAATAATTATAAAATAGAAACATAAAATAAATGTAGTAGTTATAAGTATATAGTATTTTAAAAATCCTTGTAGTTAACCATAATAATTAGTATAATTTAAAAAATACAATTTGTAAGTTATATGCATGATTTTGCATATAAATAATTTTATTAGTATATTTACAACCCCACTAGGCCCTAACTGCCTGGACGCTCTAGGTGCTAGGCTTCACCAGGCCGTCTAACTAGCACCAATGCCTTTTAGAAACTTGATAAATAATCGATTTTATAAACGAATTTGATATACAACTTTCCTAGCTGATTGTATAAGATTGTAATATTTAATACTTGTATTGTTGTGGTCAATGACCAATTGGGTCAATGATTTGATATGTGTGTAGGTTGAATCCAAATGAATTTACTCATTAAAATGACACGTGTGACTCAATTCTAACCATTGATTTTGTGTAGATTAATCTATCAAATGTGTAGACCAATAACACATATTAATCTATTGAAAAATACATTCATTAAATAATAAAACATTACTATTATTATATTTAAATTAATTATATTATAAATAAATTTATTTATTTGGGTTAACCACCATTGACCACCCAGCCGCGACCGTTGACTGTCACCGCCGACCATCGATCAGTCGTCTCCTCGTTGCCTCCCTGGCAGCCTAATTGATTCTCCGATCACCACGCCCAGAAGCTTGGTCGTCGTACACGGACGAGGCAAAGTTCAGAATGAGGCAAAGTTCAGGTTTCTCACCCAAATGACGACGTTTAGGGTCGCGTTGGAACAGCTCATGAGGTCAAGCTTTTCGATCGACAACTCGTGCACGTGGACGACGGGGCCGAGTCGAAACACGGTAAGGGCTAGGATTGGAGCGATAGCGGCATGAAGAAACATTGGTAGTCATGAAGGCGGTTCGGGGTGCATCTTTGGCCTTGATAATGGAGATCTTCTGTTGGTGCACCTCCCAATTGAGCCCCCAGCTCTTGGTCCTAGAAGGTGGTCCGACCTCTAGACAATCATGATGAAGAATAAGATTGTGATTGCGCTGGAAGGTGTGGGAATGTTCGGACCGATTAGGTTCTCAATCTGAAGGTAGAACTGTAAAGAAGCTATCAAGAGTGAAACTCCAGAGATCTACATTCAGATTGCCTCACTATAAATTAGCCATTTTATTTTTAGATAAGTTATTTAGCCCTAAACAACGTTCTTGTCGAGGATGAACTAATCTACCAACATTCTTGTCGAAGGTAAACTAACAAGGGTTAGAGAGAAGAGTTTTGAGATTTATATCGGGTATTATAATGAGATAAAAAAATATGGTGTTTCTACGTAGGGAATGTGTATGAGAGTGTATATTTGGACAGAGTAACGAGAGAAAGGGGAATTATATGGAGGATCAATCCTCTCTATTGCGGATCAAAAGGAAAGAAGGGTTTTATTTATGGAGGGCCAGCGTTGCCTCCCTTCTATACAAGCAGAGTAACGAGGTAAGGAGTGTTGGGTGAGGGTTCATCCGAATGACACCGGAATCATTGAGGGATTCAAATGCATGACAGAGGCCCTTTCTCTAGCGCCATTGTGTTTACGTGCATTTTTGCTCACGGGCCACCGTAAGCAATGGCCTTATAATTGTGTGGTATTTTAGTGTTTAATGACGAATTTTAACATATTAATAACGAAGAAATCAAAAAGAGACAAATCTTAAATTTTTTACGAATTGGGGTGCCAACACATGCGATATTTTCTTATGGATGGGCCGCTCTCGCACCTCTATTTATACAGAAACATTTCAAAGGCATAAAATGTAGCGAGAAAATAACTGAAAGCTTATGTGATTTCAACCATGATTACACTTTCATCAATCAACAGTTAATAAAAAACAAATCCCCAGGCACCGATGTTGCAATTGCGATCATGTAATAAAGAACCCGTAGGAGTTCGTCGCTTTCGTCTTTCGTCTTTCGCCGATGAATTCCTCAGCATCCACGTCGGAATTGGTCGTTTTCATCTTTTGTCGATAATCGTCGGATCTCTATTTCGTCAGAGTTTGCTGCATTCGTCTTTCATCCGAATTCGTCGCGTTTGTCTTTCGCCGAAGTTTGTTGCGTTTGTTTTTTGCCGGCGTTTGTCGTGTTCGTGTTTCGATGGCGTTCATCGTGTTGGTGTTTCATCGGGCATAACCTGAAAAAATGGAGAAAAAATGGGGAGAAAGGGGAGGAGATAAAGGAATAAGGTGAGAGATGATATTTTTTTAATAAAAAATGGATAAAGTATTGTGATGTAATGTTGAAAGGATGATTTTGCCTTTTTTTTTTTTTTTGAATTGTTAGAATAAATATATAGAAACTAACAAGAAAAATGAAATAAGAATTGGAGATTTAAGTGGAAGTATTCGTTTAGAATTTCGAATGACATATTGAATCTTTTTTAGATTTGAAACTTGAATCGTGTGAAATCTTAAGTTTGAAAGTGGTGTTTTGAAAGGGGATTTCGTATAAAGTTATTTTTTAAAAAATCTCAATCAGTATAATAAAATTCTAGTCTCAAATAAATTAAATACGTCAAGATTTTGTAACACTTTTTAAGATTGAATACCCAAGATTTTTTTAATACACGAAGATTCCTAAAGTTTTAAAAAATATTTGTAAATCTCAATTCCAACCTTGATAGGGATTAAATGAACCCTCCTATTTTTTTTTTAAATGTCATTCTAGCTTTATCAACTATTTGCCAAATAAATATCGTTTTGGATCTTTTGTACATTTTTTTCTATTATTATCCTCATTTAGCCAATAAATACATTACGTCTTTCATATTCACTCTTCACTTTTTCTCAAAACATTGCTCTTTATCTTCATTAAATAAGGTTATTATTGACAAAAAAAAAATATTCTTAATTAGTGTGCAACTTCTCAAAACGATATATATTAAAAATAGGAAGTAGTATCATTTTAAAATCAAAACCAAAAAAAAAAAAAA